GTGTGTGTGTGTGTGTGTGTGTGTGTGTGTGTGTGTGTGTGTGTGTGAGAGAGAGAGAGAGCGAGAGCGAGAGAGAGGTCACTGCCTTCAGGAGGCAGCACCATGGATGCAGGCATCTGCTTCACTGATGTGAATCCATAACACTTCGTCACTTCAGCGCCGAGCAGACGAGCTTGACAGCAAGTCGAGTATTATTTGCGAGCGGCTGGAAAATGATGTCAGCCGTGCTCGTCAGGAGGAACGGTGAGATGACGGGGAGAAGACGTGAGCAAATATACACATGTTGGAGTGTTGACTTTATATGGACATGACACGCACACGTTTGTAGATTTGATTTTTGGTGATTTGGTGCTGAAATTGCAACCTCAAAAGCAATAGCAGCACAATAAATAGTTTCCTCTGTGGACTTGAAATTAAGCCATAATCACGTAAAAACAATCTGGTGACTCAGTGTTGATGTGTGATTAACTGGTGAGAGCCATGTCCTCTCCTACTGCTTTTACTAACATTAATTTGTTTAATTTTATTCATTTAGCGGTTGGCTATTTAGCTAGCTAACGTGTTCATTTTACCATGCTTTCATGCTACAGTTACATAAAAAGCACCGCATGAACCGCTGGGCTCGACTTTACTGCCACCATATACCTGCCTTCAGATCAGCCAACTGCAGAGTTCTAATGCAATAGCCACATTTCAACCAGTAGAGGGCAGACATCATGCATATGTATGACCACAATATGTGGAATTCAAATACAAGATCTGGAGCTGAAACCATCAACGCCACCACTAAATACCCATATGCATTGGGTATCAGCTGGTTTGGGCAATTAGTTCCTCTTGGAGAAGAACAAGAAAACAAGTAGAAATGCTCCAAGCGATATGGAACTGAACAAAGTGATGTTAGCAACACATTCAAGGCTGGTAAACACATAAAATATGTGTAAAGCGCAACCAAGCCACAAGCATTCCCATCTTTCAGTCAGTTCTCAGACCATGAAAGGGGCCCTTTCATAGGAACACCCAGAAAACAACAGTCAGAAATAGAAACAAGCAGCTCCACACAGCTCTTTATCACTGTTCAGCAAATGGTAAATGGACACCTTTGAAAAGATGAGAACCGCCAAAGCACTCGACTGCATCACTCCGCCTTTCCATCTGGGGTTTAAAGAGCAGGACAGGAGTCACAAGACGAAACATTAGAAATAAGCAACTCTTAAAAGTTACGAAAAGTGGAGGAGTCTACGAAGAGGCAATAGCTCATCTCTTATTATCGGTGGCCCAGATGCATAAAGCCCAGCCCCCTCTATAAACTACAAGCACATGAACCTAACCCCCCACCAGCAACGCACTAAGCATGCTGACACTTGAGAGGGCGGCACCTCTCTTCTGCACACAGAAAGCCATCTCGGGGGCCATTCACAGCTCCCGGCTCCATTCTTCTCCAAAGTGAAAGCAATCTGAAAGGAGGGAAGAGGCCCTCTGCTATTTCATTTAGCACCAAGCAACCAAAGCAGAAAGTTTTCTACTCCCTTCTTAGAAGTTCTTCATGTCGCCTGAGCTCGTCATGCATGGGGACAGCAAGAAAAACACAACTCGCGTACGAGTTTGTCACAGATTCCCGTTTGTTTCCTCAGCAGTGTCGGCTCTGGGAAATAGCACAAGTGCACAGCGGCAACAAGAGTAGACAGCAGTGAGACAGCAGCCCTTGATGGTGAACACAGCATCCATTATATCAGTCACAGAAGACACACAGACACACACCGTGCAACAATCGGCTAGCATTGTAAAGGAATTGCAAACTACAAACCTGCTGGAAAGCCAGTTAGATTTACACTGCTGCCTCTGAACCTTCCTCTTCAGTTGTGATCCACCTGCACTGCAGTGAGTCCTCTGCCTCTCTCTCTCTCTCTCTAACACACGCCTCTCCCATTGTAGCTGCACGCAGTGTAAAACTGTTGCACCGGCTGCCCTCTTTCCTTCACGCTCCTCCTCCTACAATACCTCCCTTATCTGCTGCAGGAGCTGCAGATGACTAGCTGGCATGCATGAGGTGGGGGAGCTGTGGAATCAGTGGGTGATGGTGGTGGTGGAGGGGTAGAAGAGGGGACAAGGAGGGGGACGGAGGGGAGACGGAGGGGGAGGGTCAAACCACCTTAACTTCCCTAAACCTTTTTATCCACCACCTCCTTTCTTTTGGGATCGGAGCGGGGTTTTTTTCTTGGTGGGACAAAAAGAAAAAATCCCAAAGTTTCTTTCAGCAAGGTCTGATAGGAGAGCCTTCCCCTACTTTCCCTCTGCTAAAAGAGTCCCTCCTCTTCCATTATTCCTCCATCCAACACGTCCCCTGATAGCAGCTTAACAACCTCCTCGTGTGAGGAATGTCACCTCCGCACAAAAGAGTTTGGAGGAGAATTTGACCAAGAAAGGAGGGAAGGAGCTAGTATTTAGAATCAGGGGAATACGTATAAAACACAGTGACTACTCCTTTAAAGGAATAGTTTGACATTTTGAAAAAATATGCATATTCACCATCTTGCAGAGAGTAGGATGAAATGTTTGATAGCACTTTAATATGCTAACTATGAAGGGAGAGTCAGCAGGTGGTTTGCTTAGCTAAGCATAAAGAGGGAAACAGCTAGTTTGTAGTCAGGCACATAACACTCCATAACAGGGCTGTGCAATTAATCACATTTCAATTCCAATTTCGGCTTCAAACAATTATAAAAACAACATAATTTGTGATGGCTGGCTGTTTCCCCCTCTTTCCAGTCCTTAAGCTAAGCTAAGCTAAGCGCCTGCTGGCTGTCCCTTCACATTTATCATAAAGACATGAAAGGTCACTCTCGGCAAGACATTGAATAAGAATATCTACCAAAATGACTTCAAAAACATATTAAATACTGCTCGTTCCTAGACATTGTTGGGAGTATATTTCATACAAGAAATGATCAGATTAACAGATAATTAATATGTTTCAGTGTTGTCGGGTCAATTTGTTAACATGATAATAAAAAAAGAGGGCAGATGAATGACATTAAATTAGCATGTGAAAGGCTGTCTCACCGACGTCACGCTGACTAGGCTGTCCATGCAAAGTTCAACAGAAGAGGCGTCTTCATCGTCATGTCTTCCCTCCGTGTCCCCCTAACAAGTCCTCTGCATTAAGCAGGAGTGCTCTCACCCTCTCTGTACACATCAATTCATTAGTTGTTTTCAAACTGATTTTGAGGAGATTGATATTGAGGAAAAATCATGTTCCAAGAGATTTCTCTTAACTCCATTTAGAGGAATTTAAATGAGCATCGGCGGCCATTTAACTTCCCTTATGTAAAGAAACGCTTGGTGTGTGTAACCTTTAGTCAGCCGGGGCAACAAACAAATCTCAACTTCTTAATTGCCGCTTCCTCGAAAAAACGCTTCCATTTGGAGGGTAACAGCTCGGCGTTATTGCTGACTAGCACAGAAACAAGGCAGACAATAATTATAAGAAGCAAAAATACATATAAGGCAGAAGACGACAGTGAGCCAGCTGAGACCTCAATCAATTCAGAATCAATTAATTAAGCTGAGAGAGGGGGATTAGGGCGAGACACAAACTACTGTACACCCAGCTGTCAATCTCTAAGTGGCAGGGATTCCCTGCCGACTCCGCTTGTCTGTGCGGCGAGTGTGGTTTTATATTTGTGAAACTGCGTCCAGGACGGGAGGATCAATCACGGCTGGATGCAGTGGAAACTATTTAGTTGTGGTGTGTTCAATCTGCACTGGAAGAAACGGCATCCTCAGAGTTGTATCTAAAACCTGCGTAGCCCTGCGTTGTCCTACGACCTTCTAAGCCTTACATATTGATGGTAAGATGCTTCATGTGAAAACACCTCACGCATGCATTTATTAAACAGGATATTAAACCACAACAAGCAGCACCACATCCACACTTGCGGTGTCCGTCCGGCTCTCTCAGACTGTGCATACCTGTCCCAGAATAAACCTCGCCCTCTGGCCTCCCGCTGGATGCCTGGTCTAACATTAGCACATATTTGAGTGAAATGTGCATATAGGCACGGCAGTCTCCGTGGGGCAAACAGGGATGCACGTCTAGATTATTTATGAGCGGGAATCGCTAGTTGTAACTTTCTACAATAACTTAAAAGAGAGGAAGTAACAAATGTCAGAGGGAATATGCACGCTGGACGTTAATAAGCACTTATAGGTCGGTAATTGTACAGCTCGAGTAGAGCAGGGTGAGCTGTAATGCCAGTGTAAAGTTGTAAATCTGTGCTGGGTTGGTAATTCTATGTGCGTACATATGATCTGTGCACAAGATCGATAAATCATAAAATTGTTAAGTGCCGACACAACATGCTGCTGGATGTCCACCATACGTTCTTACAGTTCTTTCCACTGTTACACGTGACCAATGTGCAGCCTTTCCTAATCAGCCAGCAGCAGTAAAGAAAGTCATACCCACAGAACTGCAGCAACAATAATAATAAAGCAATAATAGCTGTCTTTTCATTTGGCAGAGTGTTTTCTTAGAGAGAAGAAAATGTGCATAAAAAAAAAAAAAAAGGTATTTATCTTCCCCCAGAATCTAACTCTGTGCATGCAGGGTGAATAAACCCCTTCTACTCCCGGCAAACACGAGAAGATTGCAAAGCAATGTAACTGTTGAGCTCGCATCCCATGAGAGACCCAGAGGAAGTGCTACGAGTCACCTGCAGTGGACCATTGGCCAGCGACCAGCATTGTAAATAAAGTATGTATGTGTGCATATCTGACTGTATGTATGTATGATTTATCCTTCAGGAGTATGAATCTAGGCGTTGACAAAATAAGACATTAAATAAAGAAGTCATGGATATATGTCATGCTTTATAATAACCAAACCTGAGAAAATGTCCCCGAGCACGCGTCTTTATTAATCATCTAGATGCGTTTCTCCTTGTTTATTCACAGAATTCGGTCGACTCGAGTCCCGAGGCGAACTCCCATCGCAGTGTGGTGATTGGAGACCCTTGCCCCATTTGCAATGGAGGTGGGGTGGGGGGGGGGTTGTCTTTAATTGCCCGTGTTGACTGTAACACCATGTGACAGAGGTAAACATGGCGTTTCAGCTAACGAGTCCATGTCTGACTCAAGGTCAGGGAAGTTCTCATTATGGCAAACGGGGGACTTTAACCTCACCTTGCGATAGTTCGAGCGTGTTTGCAACTCGTCTTCATAGCGATGCAGGCATGTAGTCTAAAACTGACCTTAAATCAGTCCAATGTCTGTTGGTATTTTTCTAAGAAAGAAACACTCATAATAATGATGGCAGGTTTAGCAAAAGCATAAAAGTAATCCACATACAACAGGCTGTAAAGATGGAGGAGGAGGGGGGGGTCTTGGCTGTGAGAGCCCCTCATGGACGGGAGGCCCGGGCTGTAAGTCTGCCTGACTCCAGTGGAGACAGTGAGGGAAAGACCCAGACAAACACAGCTCGCTGCCAAGCGTCGTTACTCACAACACCCACTCGACTCCACGGCACATTTCCACTGCCCGTTGCCAGATTCGGCAATCGGGATATTAGATAAAAAAAACAACAAACCTCCCCTGCAGAGCAATTTAATTATTTTGGGATGAGCTATTGGAAAGAAAGGGGTTTGTACTTTGGAGTGTTTTCGTGCATTAGGACAGAATGACCGAAGATTGTAAATATGTTTGAATCATCGATGAATAAGTGATGTGTAATGGTGGCTGTCGGTACCATTTAAATCTTGGGGTTCTTGAATGTAGAGCTAATAAAATGGTGTACTTTTTATGACTCTGGTAATGTATCTCTTCATAATATATCTGGACCTTCTAAGTGAAGTAAATAGTTTGTACTGGTTATTATAACAAGGAACAAGATGTGTCATCCTTCTTTTACCACAAACATCTTATATAATCCATGCTTCTCATCTAACATGATTAAAAAAGAGACAAACCGAGAGACAACCAAATTAATTGGGGAATGCAAGGCTCAACACACACATCACAAAGTATTCTAGGTGGATTTTTCTGTTGAGACTGACCTGAACACTGTCGGGTCATGTGAGCCTTCGGCCGCAGAGTGCTGAGCTGTAACACTCCCGTCTCCTCGTCCTCCCTTTTCCCGCAAGTCCATGTTCTCCTCTAGTGTCATGAGGAGGCTCTAATGAATCAGCCCATTGAGCCTGAACTGTGCACAGGCTTTGACTCTGCCAAAGTGTGTGTGCATGTTTGTGTGTGTGTGCGTGTGTGTGTTGCGGTCCAACTTTCCCAGCCTCCCAGAACACAAAGCTGACGTTTGTGGCCCCTCAGCACTACAAAAGCCCCACAGGCCACCAGAGCTGAAAGTGAATGGATGTACATGTATGTCTGTGTGCATATGAATGTCTACGTGCATGTCTTTTTTTTTTTTACAAGTGTGTGCATGCGTTTGTGTATGTGTTCACGATGTGGCCACATACAACCTGTCAGCATTGTACAAGGATGCCCCTAATGATTACAAAACACACGTCATGTGGCCCAGAACCAGTCAAACACAAACTCAACCGCCCAACCGTTAGACAGACAGACATACGGCCGCTGCAACAACACCACAACTCTTCCTTGGATCTCGACACAGCTACAAACGGAGGCCGACAAACCATATCAAATATGGCTGTAAAACACAAACCAAACATAAGAAACAGATGCAAACACACAAACCAAACTCCTCCTCTGGCTGCTGTCAGGACTGATGAGTCACAGAGGAGACAGCTGTTATTTATCAGGGAAACACCCGTTCTGATTATAATTTAAAACTGTAGTCATTACAAACCAGTATCAGCTCTTGGAAAGACCTCTTTAGATCAACATCAGTGCACATGGTTACTACAAATCTCTCTCTGTGTGTGTGTGTGTGTGTGTGTGTGTGTGTGTGTGTGTGTGTGTGTTACTCCAGGCCTGCCAAGAGAAGAGTCGGTCAACGTGACCCCTTCCGCATTCATCTCTGTCTAACCTCGCTGTCTTCTTTCTTACAGCGACTGAACT